TCACTGCCAGTAACCACAATGTCGTCAACATACAGGAGGAGAAAGATGGTGTGGGATCCCTGCTGAAAGATAAAAAGTGAAGAGTCTGCCAAGCTTCTTGAAAAACCAAGGGATAAGAGAAAGGTGCTGATACGATTAAACTATGCACGCAGAGCCTGTTTGAGGCCATAAAGAGACTTGTGAAGTTTACAGACATGAGTGGGATGAGCAGGGTTCACAAAACCAGGGGGCTGGACCATATATACGTCTTCTTGAAGGAACCCATTAAGGAAGGCATTCTTGACATCGAATTGCTGTAAGGACCATCGGCGGGAAACAGCAAGACTGAGAACAGTGCGAATTGTGGCTGGTTTGACAACAGGGCTGAAGGTCTCAAAGTAGTCAATACCAGGGCGTTGATGAAATCCCTTAGCCACTAGGCGGGCCTTGTAGCGTTCAATAGTGCCATCAGAGTGACGCTTGATGCGAAAGACCCATTTGCAGCCGACTGGAGTATGTGTGGGAGATGGAGGAACAAGAGACCAAGTCTGATTTCACAACAAGGCATTGATTTCTTCAGACATTGCTGCACGCCATAGTGGATGTTTGGTGGCCTGAGAAAAACAAGTGGGTTCAACATCGTCAAGGATAGTTAAAAGAGCATGAGGGACCGGGTATCGAATTGTGCCGTCGGTGAGGGTTTTAGGCTGAGAGATGCCATCACGCAGATGTGTGTGCATGGGATGAGCAGGCACTGGTGGCGCTGGTTCGATAGGTGGTGGAGAAGCTGGGTCCGCAGGGGCAAGGGGAGCTGGAAGTAGTGGTGCTTGTGCAGGTTCCATAGATGGTATGCGGGGTCTTCTGGAATATGTGTGAAGTAGGGGCTGGACTGGCACAAAAGAAGCCGCGTCAGGTGGATTAGATGGTGCTGCGCAGTCAGGGCCGGTAATGGGTTGTGGTGGGGGGACTGCAGCTTGTGGAAAGATGGAGGTGCCGGAAGCTTGTGGAAGGATAGAGGTGTCGGAAGCTTGTGGAATGATGGTGGTGCTGGAAGTGGCCACGTCCTGTGTGGGCGTCGGTGGTATGTGCACAAGTGGAGGTGGTCTTGGAGTGGCCGCATGTGCTGGAGAAGAAGAGGCAGAGACCACAGGATGAAAATTTATGTCAGTATACTCCGGGAAGGATGAGACCTGCAAATGCTGAAAAGGAAAACTTGTTTCGTTAAATAAAACATGTCGAGAGGTATATACACGACCAGTGGAGGGATCGAGGCAGCGATAGCCTTTATGTTGAGTACTGTAGCCAAGGAACACACATTCAATGGAACGGTTGAAGAGTTTGTTTTCTGTGTAAGCACCTAGATGTGGGTAACAAGAACAGCCAAAAATCCTAAGATGAGAATAGACAGGAGGTTGGTTAAAGAGTTTGGTGTATGGGGTTTGCCAGGATAGGATTGGGGTGGGTAAGAGATTGATGAGGTGGACAGCAGTGAGTGCCATGTCAACCCAAAGTGTGTGAGGGGCATGGGATGTAGTGAGGAGGGTTCGAATTATTGTGGCAATATGGCGGTGTTTACGTTCAGCAAGTCCATTTTGTTATGGGGTGTGGGGACATGAGAATCGTTGTTGAATGCCTAATTTGTGACAGTAGTGAGTGAAAGAGTTGTTGACATATTCTGTGCCATTGTCACTTTGAAGAAATTTGATGGAGGAATTGAAGATGTTATGTATCATGGAAACTAGAGTTTGAAAATGGTGAAAGACCTAACTTTTGCGACACATGGGATAAATCCATGTATACCGCGTGTTGCGTCGATTCAGCTGCACCAAAATGGATTCAGCTGCATCCTCAACTTGTGATACTCGCAAGTGCACGAGCCGTTTGGTAGTATAGC